AGAGCTGACCCTGTTTGTGGCGGCGCACTGGTCCAAGTTCAAAGATCCCGACAGCCGGCAGAGCTACTGGTACAACCAGGTTGGCGTGTGGGAGGGCGTGTGGGGGCAGGCGGGGAGGGCGCCGCACAATGCGTGGTCGCGGCCGCCTCCCCTGCGGCACCCCTGCCTGCCCGACCGGGTTGCGCCTGGCCCGCTGCACGCCGACGTGTGCACCCCCCTGCCCCCCTGCGCCTCCCTGCGCCTCAGATCACGCACCGTATCAGCTGGGAGGAGCCGGTGCTGCCGCAGCGCATCGCGATTGACGACGAGGGAGGGTACATCGTCACGGAAGCGGGTGGGTGGGTGGCGCGGCAGGGCGGGCATGCATGAGCATGTGCATGTGCATGTGCGCAGCTCATTTCGGGCGCAGCGCATGCCGGTGCCGCCGTGCGCACATCCGCCTGCTGGCGCCTGCTCCCCGGCGCCGCAGAGGAGGACCGCGTGATGCCCAGCCGCTCCGCGCTGCAGGCGGCGGGCAGGTGAGGCCTGCGGGGCGGCGCGTGCCTTGCGCCACCCACACACCCGCACAAACGCCGCCGCCGACAGCAGCGGCGAGCGCCCGTGCAGGTACGACCTGCACCACGCCGTGATGCTGCACGGCGGCTACACGGTGGCTTCTCAGTCCCTGGACCGCCGCCCCGCCTGGCCCCCCTCCCAGCACCTGGACAGCCTGGCCGCCCTGCGCCAAGAGCTGCGCCAGTTTGTGTCTCAGACCGGCCTGCGCCGCGGCTGCCTGCCCACCGCCAGCCAGCTGCTGGAGGCGGGGCGGGGCGACCTGTACCAGGCGAGCCGGTGGGGAGGCGGGGTGTGAGGTGGCTGGCGTGTGTGCGTGTGTGGCGGGGTGTGGGGGCGGGCGCTCACAGGGCCATGCGTGGGTGGCCCCCGACAGACGTGCGATGAAGAGCCACATGCCAGCTGCCCCCCCATGCCTCCGCCCCGTGCGCCGCCGCGCAGGCCATCGTGCGGCGCGGCGGGTTCTGTGCTGCCGGGCAGGCGCTGGGTTGGGAGACGCAGCGCCGGGGGCGGCGGGCATGGGCCGATGCGGCGGCTGTGGCTGGCGAGCTGCGGCGGTTCATCCTCGACACCCAGTTCCCTCCCAGGGCCGGCAGCACGCCGCAGGGCAGGCTGCGGCGTGGCAGCCCTGCACGCAGCCAGGCCGGGGAGCGGCAGGGGCAGGCGCTGGATGCCCAGCCGCTGCCGCCAGGCGCACGCATGCCCACGCATCTGCAGCTGGCCAGCGCTGGGCGCCACGATCTGAAGTGAGGGCTGGGCTGGTGGCGCCTCGGCCTGTCTTCCTCACGCCCGGCTGCCTGCTCTGATGCAGTGCCTGCAGGCTGGCTGATTGTTTCCTTCCCATCTGTGCAGGTATGCGCTGCAGCTCCACGGCTCCGCCAGCATTGCCGCCATGCTGGGCCTGCAAGGCAACACCCAGGGTGCGCACAACCGCAGCAGGGCGCGGGAGGCGGCAGACCCACACAGATAGCGCCGCCCAGGGTCTCAACTAGTTCACTGCATTCGCAGCATGTTTGGCTTTGAATGGATGCTCTGCGTCTTTGTCCACGGTAACTTGAGCAGCCATGGAGGTGTCAGGCCGCCTGACACAGTGCTGCACTGTGCGAGTGACGTTGGCACGCCGTGAGCGCTGGGGTGGCGGCCACATGAACTGCGCAGCTGTGGGGGCTGGGACGCTCGCGCGCGCTCCACTCAACGGTTCAGAGTTGCCAGCGCCTGGCCATGACGCCTGCGCCCTGACCATGCGCGCATCGACCTGACGCACGCGCCCCCTCCACCCCACCCCAGCCCCACTCCCACTGTGAAGGAACCTAGTGGCGGCAGCAAAGCAGGTGGGGGTCAAGAAGTTTGTGCTGCTGGCATTATTGGCTTCTTGCGATTCCAACTGGCATGCAGCCATCAGCGCTGCCGGGAGTCCATGGCAAGCGCAGGCAGATCAAATAATGGTCTAAAGCTAGACGTTAAAACCGGGAAGCTAAGCCTGTGGAGGCTCTTCCCCACCTTTACCTTTACCTTTGGCCGGCAATGAGCCTGCCGCAGTTGGGCTGCCGCCGCTGCTGCAGTGGTCAGAGTCCGCGGGGGCTTTCAAGTAGGGCACGAGCATCACTGACCAGCACGTGCCTAGGATGTTGCTGGGCCAGCTCAACACTGTGGTGATTGTGTTGCTGCAGCTAGCTCCACTCCCTCAGCTTGTCCAAGGCCAGCGGCGCTTGGGCCAGCAGGTGCGCCCCCCCCCTCAAGGGAGGGACGGGAGGGACGGGAGGCCCCAGGGCCCCAGGGGGCTTCTGCTCGCTCATAGAGGGTTGAATTGCGGCGAGGCGCCGGATGGGGGTTCCTTGGCATCCCGCGCCCCAATGTTGGCGTGGTGCCAGCGGAGGACGTGCGCTAGCGAACGTCCTCTGCAGCTGCTAGTAGGACCGTGCACGTCCTTTTGGGGCATAATGCTAAATCGCCCCACAACCGAGAATCTTTGCTGTGTCTACGTATATCTCGTGCAGCGCTGCCCAAAGGCGCAGAACCCCCGCGCTGTGCGCCTGTTAAGCACCGTTGCCGCCTGCCGGGCACTGCGACCGCCTCTATTTGTGCCAGCACTCGTAGCCAGCACGATTGCGCAGCGCTGACCCCCTCTTGGAGTGGACTGTAGCATGAGAACCATGCAGATTGGTGCAGCATTGCTGATCGCTACGCTGCTGGCAACGATTAGCACCTTTGCCACTGCTGGTGCGCCTCAGCTGAGCTTGGTGGCCGGTGGCCGGGCAGGGCGGTGGCCGGTGGCCGGGCGGAGGAGGCCGGTGGCCGAGCCGCGGTGTAGCGGCGGCGGCCGCCTGGAGGGCACCCTGTCCCAGAGCTGGAGGCCAGATCTGGCCTGCATGGAGGTTGACGGGCCCTATATAGGGAACTCTGCGGAAGAGGGTGGGAACTGGCGGCGTGCTGGTTGCTCCCCTCGCTTCCCCCGTCCCAACTTGCCCTATGCCTTCATCCGTGGCGGGGGCCCCCCCACCGTGCAGCCAGTCCCAACGTGACGGTGAGTGGCGGGGGCTGCTCCTTCATGTTCAATGGAGGGATGTACCAACTCCACAGCGTAAGCTCAGTGCAGTTGCTTCATCGCTGGCCGCACCCGCTGGCCACACCCGCAAGAGCGTCCGCGACCGAGTGGCTGTGCTGAGCAGCGCTTCCTTGCCATTCCTCCCGCGCAGGGCATCTTCGGCGGCGGCATCCCTGCCCCTAACCCGGCGACACAGGACCCTAACGTCTACTCATGCCCTTCTTCTTCTTCTTGTGTGGGCTTAAAGTCTGGTAAAGCAAGAACTAGCTTGCAACATAGACTCCCCGCCGAAACGGGACGGGAACCGGGCGAAAGCAGAGAAAGCAATAAAACAGGGGTGGAGCAAGGCGACATGCAACGCAAGCAGCTGACAGGGCACGCATCGAAACGTGTGTATGACTGGCAAAGTGGCATGGCGCATTGGGGAGAAACGCAACGGTACGGGAGCATGGGCTGGCCAAACGGCAGTGCGGAACGCTAGGTCACTAGAAAAGCAGGGAAAGGCGCACTATGTATGCAATGAGGGCAGCCCCGGCTCGGGGCCGTTGAGAAAGCAGTGGTCGGGAGGGGGGAGGCCCCGGTGTGGGCGGGCCCCATCGAGGGGGGATGGGGCGCGCAAGCGGCCAGATGGGGCGGGGCGCGGGCGGCAGTAGAGTCCTGCGGCTGGGTGGGATATAGGGCAATGAGCGTTGAGCAGTGTGCGATGAGCAATGAGCAATGAGCAGTGAGCAGCCCCTCCCTAAACAAAGTGAAGCGCAGGACGGGGTCCGGTGGATGGGAGGCAAGGAAACGCGGGGGGTTGCCACGTGCGCTGCCGACGCCGCCGCAGGCAGCACCCCTGCGGCGGCGGCAGCGGCAGCAAGCCGAGGACCCAAACGCCGTGCCGCCGCCGCCGCAGGCAGCACCCCTGCGACGGCGGCGGCAGCAAGCCGTGGACCGAAACGCCGTGCCGCCGAGTCCCGTGGCTGTGGCCGTGGGCTTCTGGCAGGAAACTACGGCCGCAACTCGGCAGCACGGGGGCGTCGCAGCGTGCCCCCGCCGCCGCCGCGCTGCCCCCCGGGCACGGCGGCGGCGGCAGCAAGCTTGGGCCCAAACGCCGTGCCGCCGAGTCCCGTGGCTGCGACCGTAGACCGTGGGCCGGAAACTGCGGCCGCAGCTCGGCGGCACGTGGTTCTGTTCAAATCGCCAAGCGTGCAGCAGCGCCGAACCACGCTTCCCGGCCTCGGCGCATGCCTTCAGGGCCCCCCTATCGCTGGGCACACCCCTCCAACACCGAACATGCGCCCGGGGGGGAGGGCGGCCCGGGCTGCCCAGGCCAAAGTGGGCCGCCCTCGAGCAAGAGGCGGCCGGTCTGTGTGCTGAATGAATGAATGAATCCTCCGACCCTAAACCTGCCCAAGGTTTTGCTCGATGGTGAGGTGCCGCCAGGATCAGTTGAGGGCGATGGGAAGCAGTGGCTTCATGTGCTCACTGGGATGGCAGCAGTTAAGAGCTGTCATCCGTGCAAACCGGGGCATACCGCACCACGTGCAGGGCGTGATCGGAGCGGGCGCGCCCGCCAGGGAGTCTGACGCTGCAAAGACCTGCTACAAATACAACTACCCTGGAGTCAACCGGCCTTACGCCGGCCAGCTGATCACAGAGCTCACGGCCGCCTATCAGTACAACGCCTATAATTTGGGCTATGACTTCCTCCTGGGTATTTCGGCGCTGCTTTGCTGCTTGTTATAGCAGCAATATATTGCTGCTTTTTCTTTGCTGCTCATGCCATTGCTGCCATGCCCTGCCGCAGGCATGCAAATTAAGTGGGATGATGGCACCTCCTTTTGTCTTGGCTGGTGCGGGTGCTCTCCCTACGCGGGTCCCATGGGGTTCTTGTCCCCCACGTGCGAGACAGTAATGTAAGCCGCCCCTGCGCCAAATGCCAGCGCAGCTGCCACCAGCCTTGACTGCCCCACTTGCTTGCACTACAGTTCCCCAGCAACCGCCGTGCCTATCACGGGTTATTCCCTGTACTATGCCGACTATCCAGCATCAATCACCGACACATTCGGCGTGAAGAACCCTGTCCCTGTTGGCATGGCCCTGCGTTGGTCCACAGGAACAAAGGGAGCAGGTGATGCTGCGGTACCGCAATCGGTACCACCACCGGTGGGTGGGCACGGCGTGAGCTTGACACCAAGGTGTCATTGACGGGCATGCTCATCTGATTTCCTGGGGCGCAGGCAGGGTAACACCCACCTATAATCCACAGACCGGACGTTTCAATGAGTTTTTTACCCTCAAACATGATGATTTCCAATTCAACAATGGCTATGGCTTCTCGATGCTCCAGGCGCGCCGCCCCTGCTCTGCTCCCCTCACACCTACAAAAAAGGGCGCCACGACCCTGCCCATAACTATTGTGCCCCTCCCCCTCCCCACGCAGGGCATCCTTGGCTCGAGGGGCGCTGGCGTGCTTGGCTCCTTGGGACTGGTCTTCTTCAACGCAGCCACCTCATGTGAATGCTGAGCGGATTGGCCCTGAATGCGGCCTCAACCTGGACACTGTCCGGCTGCCAAGTTGCTCCAACATTGTCAACCCCCCTCACCCACCCACCCATCTCTCAACCTCGTGCAGTGAGCGTCGAAGGCGTTGACTACCCGCAGCTAAACGCACTCAAGCCAACCTCGCCAACCAGCTGGTCCAGCACCTACAGCCACGCCTACGCCACCGCCTGGAGCAATAAGTTTGGCTTTAAGCAGAGCGTCAAATTCAAGGCCAACCTGTTCAAGTCGCCTTGCTCCACCCCTGTTTTATTGCTTTCTCTGCTTTCGCCCGGTTCCCGTCCCGTTTCGGCGGGGAGTCTATGTTGCAAGCTAGTTCTTGCTTTACCAGACTTTAAGCCCACACAAGCAAGCAAGCAAGCAAGTGCGCAGGCTGGGTGTCAACGGGATTGCGAGGAGCCAGGGCAAGGCAAGCTTGCCCTTGAGGGGATCGGACCCATTCTAACATCGTGCGACCGGGCGCCCTCCCATTGTGCAGAATTGTGGGGGCTGAATACTCAACAGAATTCAGGTGGGCCACGGTGCCACTTGAAGAAGCCACTTGGTTGTGTCGCATTTGTATGGGGTGGTGGGTTGATGGGGGCACTGCGAGGCTGCGGGATGCAGCTCAGCCCGCCCTGCACCACCCCAAGTGTGCAGCTATGTTTTGTCTTGCTATGTGTGT